AGCTCTGAATCACTAAATGATAGTTTAGTATAGAGCCTCTATGACGGTGGCAAAGAAATAGGGGGAAACTAGTTGATGAAACTTCCCAAAAGCCATCGCATAAGTAAAGGATATTACCTGTGATCTCTAAATTAGTCTCCAAATGCCTTGGGGGTTTGAAGCCTATAATAAGCATGTGAAGTTTGAAGGAGGTGTGCACAGGATGCAGAGTACCCAAGACAGAGAAGCAAGACTGCATACATGTGAGCGTCATGACAGTAGCAATATTATCCAACCTACTGAGGTGAATCTGTGATCAACGCTGAAGAATTCAGAACTGATAGTAAGTCAGCCAGCAGAGCTGGGGGGCAGCATGTAAACACCATGGACAGTGCCATCTGGATAGTTCATCTTCCAACGGATATGAACTAAAGGGTGCTCAGAGAAAATAAAAATGTACAATTTTCCATAGAACCAGTTCACACATTACAGAATAAACAAGTCACTACATGATCTTTATGCAAGGAGATTATTCACTGAGTGAACATGAACAGTCATTGAAGGACTATGCCAGTTAGGAATCTTCAGTAGAAACTTTTTTTTTTTTTTTAGAGAGATTTTTACTATAGGGCATATATGCTCATGTATGCTCACTGGAGAAACCGAAGGCAAGAAATTCCTCACCCCCCACTTCCACAACCCCGTGAGAACGGCCATGCCACAATCCTTTCTCCTCCATCTCCTCCATTCTCTTCTTGGGAGTTTGGGGATGCATGCACACATACCTAGCGTGTTTTAATCTGCTGGGTTCATGGTAGGACTACATGGGAGTCCAACGATGTAAGCATTATACCGTCTGCTGGTCTCAGTAGAAATTATTTCCAAAAAAACTTAATGTGATTTGGGATTAAAGTCTTGTAGAACTTAGAAAAATTCTACTACAGCAAATTACATTGTATGTAAATACTCACCAGTATTCTCTACGGAAACACGAGTTAACACAGTTGAAAGTGATAGGCATATTCTTCAGATTAAAAAAAACTATATAAATCTCTGTCATCTTATGGTAAAAAACAATAATCATGATTGTAGTTGTAAATCTTGGATTTTTTTTAATAAATACACAAAGCAAAATATTGTGTCACTGGAAATTCATGCTGCATTTTTACATAGAAAAATATGTCATGGCTTTCCTGATGCCCCAATAGTTGTTTTATATAAAATATTTAATAGGTAAAAAAATTGGTTAAATCTCTTTTTTTTCTTTTTTTGGAGAGATTTTCACTGTAGGGCGCGTGTGCTCACCAGACAGACAGAGAGAGACATAGAGACAGAAAGCGAGAAATCACCCCCCAGGGGGGATGGTCACGCCACAATCCCTTCTCCTCCATTCTCCTCTCGGGATCTTGGGCATGCACGCACACGCGCCCGGCGTGAGTTTTAAGCCACCGGGTCCGGGACACGAACTGTGGTCGACTACATGGGAGTCCAGCAACATAGCCATTACGCTAACTGCTGGTTCCCTGGTTAAATCTCTTTTAATTTCAAACATCAAATGTTAAAAACATTACAGTAAACACTGAATTAGTAAGGGTCCAGTCAGTAGACAGATAATCATAATATTAATTTAGTTATTATTGTTATTATTATTGTTTATTTTTATTATTGTTGTTGTTACTCTAATAACAACAGAGATAGAGAGACAGAGAAAGAGAAAGTGAGAAAGCAAGTCACCAGGTCTGGGACTCGAATCACCATCAACCACGTGGAAGTCTAGTGCCTTAAATACCATGCCACCTGCTGACCTTAAACAGGGATAATCTTACATATGCAGTTTTTAACTAGTAATAAGGTTAACTACCAAAGACTAAAAGAGAACAAATAATACGAGGACTGAGAGGATGCCCAAGGAAAAAATGCCATTGGAAGGGGCTCCGCTTCCTCCCTAGGGAGTCAGTCCAACAGGAGAGGGTATGACTGCAGCCCACTCAGTGATGGAAAAGTTCCCTCAGTTTTCCTGGGGCAGAGCTGATGTGCACCTTGCAGAGCAGGCCTGGTAAGCAAGCAGAGAACCTCCAAACACCAAGACTGGTAAGCAGAAGCCTCTTGCCAGGATATGAACAAAAACTGATGAAGGGTAGATCTCAATAGGAGTCTGTATTAGTCAGGTTCTCCAAAGAAGCAGAATCCACAGGGTGTGTGTAAGGAATTGGTCATGTGTTGTTTAGTGATGCTGCCAAGCCCAAAATTTGTGAACCAGCAAGCTAGAAGCCCAGGAGAGCTGATGGTGCATTCTAGTTCAAAAACAGTCTGCTGAAGAATTCTCTCTTCTGTGCAGGAGGCCTGTCTTTTTGTTCTCTTCAGACCCTCAACTGATTGGATATACCCAATGACATCATGGAGGCCAGTATGCTTTACTAAGAGTTCAAAATTAAAGGCCCAATCCATAGAAAAACACCCTTCATAGAAAAATTCAAAATAACATAGGACCAATTTTCTAGATACCCTATGGTCCAGCCAAATAGACACAAACAATGAATCTTTACAGTGTTCCTGAGAGACCCTGGAAGCTGTGCCATGAAAGAGAGACGAGAAGCAAAGTCCCTTTCCTCCTGCATTGTCCACCCACCACCCCCTACAGTCAAGGTTTAACATGGCGCTAGCCAGAAAAGAAGTGTCTCACAGGTTACTAGGGTTTGAATGAAATTCAGTTGTTGCCAATGTGATAATTTTAAGAAGTGGGGCCTTTAAGAGGTGATCAGGCCATTAGGGTTTCTCCCTTATCAGTGGGATTAAGGCCTTTATAAAAGAGGCTTCATGAAGCATTAGGCTAGCTTGACTAGCTTGCTTTTCTGTCTTCTGCCGTGTGTGGATGAAGCATAAAGCCTTCACAAAACAATAAATACATACCTTGACCTTGGACTTCCCATCCTCCAGAACTGTGAGAAATAAATTTGTTCTTTTAAAGTTAAAAACAATAATAATAATAAAGCAACTTTAATCATATTTTCCTCATTCTAAAGTATTAAAATACAAATGTATTAGTAAGAGCAAAAATATTCCATATAGTTAAATAGGATCACATTCTAGGTTAAGCCATGGACATATGTGCTAGATTTGGCTGCTTGACATGCTGAAGCCACATGCGAAGGCTAAGTTCAGTTTCCAGCCTACCCTCAAAAGCTAGGTCCAGTGACACCTGCTTATAGTCCCAACTACTTAGGAGACTGAGATGAAACAATTGTGACACAGCAAGAGGCTGTCTAAACCACCACATATCCTTGTGCACACACATACACATATATCCAACAACAAAAAGTCAGATTATTTTATTTTTAATATTTTATCATTATTTTTGTGTGTGCTAGAGGAAGCATGTGTTTGCCAGAGAAAAAGACAGAAGAATAGAGGAGAGGGAAATTAGAAAACATACCCCATCAGACATGGTCATACCATAATCCCTTCTTTTATATTTCTTTCTTTTGGGGGGATTTTGGACACACATGCACATAAATTTGGTGTATTTCTCAAGCTGTTGGTCTAGGATTCAAACCATGAAGTCAGCCATATTCCTTCCTATTCAGCTGCCCCAAGCACCAGGCCATAGAGCTGGCTCAATCTTTTAGTTTTTATTTATGTGCATGATATATTCACACATGATACATACATAACATAATAAATTTGCATGTACTTAAAGTGTACTTAAAGTTTTTACTGGTGAATGGTGAAAGATTTGGAAATGGCTAGAGAGCAGTTCAAGATTCATATTGAAGATCACAGGTTCGATTCTCTGGTGTAATGCTGGGATCATTCCCACAGCCCTGGCCATCTGGAAAGGCTGTGGGGTGGAGGTAGGAGGGCTTGTCTCAACTCTGTCCCTTTCTTCCTCTCCTTACAAATGAAATAAATAAACTTAAAATAATAAGATTTGAAAACCAATTTTTTATCTCAGGGATTTTTTTTTTTTCAGTTATCTTGTAAATGGGATTATATCCCAATTAGAAAGAAGTTTAGGGGTGTGAGCAATGAGCAATGGCAGATATTTGAAAACATTGAAGAGGGAGAATCAGAAATATATGGGAATAAAAGCAAATAAGACTATAAATAGGAAAAGGACCAAAAATTAAACTATCCTTTCATTGACATGTGTGATTAGGTACATAATTACTCTGTCAGTTTCCCTCTCAGTAAAATTGGGGAACATTAGAATAATTATCTAAGGAGTTGAATGAAGACCAGGTGAAGTAAGGCCGTGTTACTAGCACAGCAGTGTGGGGTACACATATGCTCTCAGTCAATGACAGCTATCAGTATTGTGGCTGTTTCTTATGTTCTTCTCCTAATTATTTTTTGTGTTTTTTTTTTTAATAGGTATTATTTTTAGAGTAGATTTAGGTTCACAGGAAAACTAACCAAAAGGTACTTAACCTGTGTTTCCTTTCTCTTTCCTAACTTGACAAAGTTTTTTGAATTAATGATCCACGTTTTGTTGTTGCTCTTATTGCTAAGGCATATTATTTATAAACAGAAGGTATTTAATAAATTTTGATTAATGTGATATTGTAATAACTGGTAACTAATTGTTCTGACAAATCATTATTATGCAAACTATACTTCAACTATATATATAATTACTTTCTGTATGTATACATATATACATATTACTTTCTGTGTGTGTATATATATAGATATATATATATAGTGTATATATATATATATTTCTGTAATACACATTACTTTCTTGGTGTTATTTTAGATCTTTATCATATAAACTGTAACAGTGAGCCAGTATAACTAAAAACTAAAAACCACTCTATTTAATAACTGTTTTGACAAATCATTATTATGAAAACTATACTTCAACAATACATATGTAATTACTTTCTGTATGTATATACACACACATTACTTTCTGTGTGTATGTATGTGTGTGTGTATATATATATATATATATTTCTGTAATACATATTACTTTTTTGGTGGTGTTATTTTAGATCTTTATCATATAAACAGTGAGCCACTATAATTAAAAAACATCCAAATTTTAATCTGTAGAAAAACATTCTAAGGCAATAAATTTCAGCGAACTTCTTGCACAAAAATATCATTGACCTTATATGACATTAGTATCATTCTAGTGTGTAACAGAGAAACCAAAGGGGGATTTTTTAGTTTCTTTCATCTTAGTATTTTCCTAGATTTCTTCTTCATAAGAACCATGATATAAAACTTAAACTTTAAATAAGGAGCAGATAACTGTGTAGATTTTAAATTCATTTTGTTTTAATTTTTAAAATTAGTAAAAGCACAACTGTTTTATTAATAATTAAAAATTTAACTAATAAAAGATAGTTAAAAATTATGGAGATCGTGTTGGTTTTTCCTATATAGATTTTGAAGATCTATTACAAACAAGTGATCTAAGTAAATAAGAGAATCTCACATACAGAATTTTCTTTCATTAAATGTTTGAAGAATTTTTTTGCTTTCATTTAGTTTAGGTGCTATTTAAAGGAGATGAAGAAAATGCAGGTATTTCTTAGATCTCCGATCGAAACTTCAGTGTAGACCCTTTCATTTTGTTTTTATAGTCTTCTTCAAATCGCTCATATTGGGCTACAGTGAATTTATTCTTCCAGTCTCCTGAAATACCTAAAAAAGAAAACATAAAATGACAAATTTGAGACAACTTTAAAATTTCCAAGACCAGTTTTAAATTTAATTACTACATTTTTTTTCCAGAGTTTTTTTGCTATAGTGCCAGAGAGACAGAGTGAGGAATCACCCCCCCACACCCCAGGGGGGATGGCCTTGCCATTTTCCCTTCTCCTCCATTCTCCCTCGGGATTTAGGGCACACACACACACACACACACACACACACACGTGCCTGGTGTGAATTTAAGTCGCTGGGTCCAAGATTTGAACCGTAGTCAACTACATAGGAGTCTAGCAATGTAACCATTACACCACCTGCTGGGCCCACCATACTTGTATTTTTAAATCTTTCACTTTAGGGTCTATGTCATTTCTCTTCACAGCCTGCAATTCTCAGACTCCTAGACCTTCTTAGTCTTTCAAAAATTCTCATGGATTTTTGGGTATTTTATGTAAATAAATTATTCCTTAAATAGCTTAAAGAAATGTAACTTGAAGCAGAGTAAATTTCAGCATCTCAAAACCCTGATTCTTTGACTTTATTAACAAAGGATACAGAGAATTTTTTAGTCATTTAAAAATATTTTTTCTAGTGTCAAGTGATCATTTCTGGAAAAAACTTATGGTCAAGATGAAAAAATTACTAGGTAAGTGTAATTAAATATATATATTTTTTACTTTAGGATTTCATGGTCTTCAAAATATTAGCACTATCAAAAAACCTTTAAAAAAGGATACAGGACATAGCATTTACAATCAATATAATGTCATTTCCCCTGGCTATTCCACAGGGTTATAAGTTACATTCAAAAACCTAACCCAGTTTTAGATACTAATGAGTAAAGCACTGAACCCAACAGACTCAAACAAAACTGCGGCAGCCACAGATGAACGGCATCCACTTAAATGGAAACAAAAACAAAGCCAGAAGCGAATCCTTAAGGTTAAATCGCTGAAATTCTTATGATCCTTTCTTTTACAGCAAAGCTGATTAATACACACAAAACATTATGTCTTTTTCTTTCCCTCTTTCTTTCATATACACACACATACATACATGCACATACATACACACACATGCATACACACACAATTCCATATAATTATTACGAATATATTTTGTGCAAGATGTTGAGTGCAAGGCTGAGGATACACTACTTTATAGTAATCATAGTGACAACTTCACTAAGCTTACACTTTCCTTCATTAATTTAGTATGCCCAACATATTTTAAGCTAGTTATCTAATGCAGTAAATTTATTATTTGATATAATTGAATAACTATCATGATAAGCATACATCAAATAGAGAAATAAGACAATATGTTCAGTTTAATAATGGATATTTACCAAATACTACAGCTGTTATCATTCTCAATTGTTAGATGGCAAATATTTTCCTTCTATCACTGGGTACCAGAAGATGTCTACTCTCACTTGTCTAAATCACTGTCTTGGAAGTTCCAGAAAAATGGGCAAGGAAGGGAGGGGAAAGGCAGAAGCATTACAAAGGAAGAATTCGAGCTATCTACATTCTTACAAAACCTGATTGTATGTATAAAAAAATAAGAACTCTACAAAAGAAAATTAGAAGTGGTAAATGATTTTAGCAAGGCTAAGTTGCTAAACAATTAGGTGCCCACATTTTTTTTTTGTAGATGTTCTCTTTCTTTTTCTTATTTATATAAAGTCATTCACTGTACATCAGTACAGTATACAAAAAGCAGATTTTCCATTCAGTGTACATTGTAATTGGCTCAATCAAGGATATTACCATATATGTTATCTTCAACAAATAATTTTCTATTTCTTGTTTCTTATGTATTTTGCTTTGTTTCCCCCTTGATTCTCTACCTCTCATTCTCTGCCACCTCCCCCCAACACACACCAAATATATTATGAAAGTTGTTTTCCACGCCTTTTACTTTTACAATTTATTGATTCACTAAAGATCTTAATTAATTTAAAGACTTCCAATAGCAAACACAGCTGATATGTACATATTTATGAACGTGTGTCTGACTTTAGTCAGAAACCTCAGTGAGTAAAGTGAACATACTATAAAGTAGCACCTTGCTGGGGCTACATAGCTTACTGCAGTCATTAAATAGGTATTAATAGGTATTTTTAATGCATTTTTTAATGTCAGAAAATGTTTTAGTTTTAATAGCCCAAAATTAAAAAAAATATTACGATAAATTTGCTTAAAACTTAAAGCCAGGAAAAAAGTTCAAATAGTAGGTAGATGAACCTATCAACACTTCAAGAGAAGACAAAAATCCTTAAGTATGGAAATCAAAGCATCAAAGAAAATCAGTAATATTTTAAACTAAAGTAAAATGTATATGTATTTCACTAGTGCAGACTCATGTAATTAATGTCCCTTCTATTAAATTTGCATTGTTACTGTGGTTAACATTCAACTCCAGACATTAGGCTGGTATTAGGCTGGCCATTCTCTTGGCTGTTCCTTGTACTCTTACTTCTGAGTGTCCAACTTTAGTTTTCCTGGTATAGCACTCCCTTCAGCACTTCTTGAAGTGGTAAATTCTTTCAGGTTTTACTTACATGAGAATGCTTCTCTCTTTTTTTCTCATGTTAGAGATAATTTTGCTGTGTCTAGTATTCGTGGTTGAAATTGTCTTTCATTTAACATTTTGAATGTATTTTCCCACTCGTTCCTTGCTTGCATTGTTTCCAACTAGAGGTCGGACATGAGCCTCATGGGATATCCTATGGCAGTAACTTGATGTTTCTTTCCTGCCAATTTTGGTATCTTGTCTCTGTCCAGAGTTTTGGTCAATCTGGCTATGATGTGCTCCAGGGAAGATATGCTTGGGTAGATTATATGTGGAGTCCTTTGTATTTCTTGGGTCTGGACATTTGAGTGCCTCTCTAGGTTTGGAAAGTTTTCTTCCAGGATTTATGGAATAGATTATCAAGCCCTTATTAGTTTCTTCATCTTTTGATATACTGATGATCTGGTTGTTTGGGTATTTAATGGTATCTAATATTACTTGTAGGTTATCATCATTTTTTTGGTTATTTTCTTAGTCTTTTTTGTAAATTTTTCTAGGTCAGAGGTTTTATCTTCTACATCTGATTCAATCTTTTGCATGATCTAATCTGCTTTTGCTATTTTCAATGGAAATGATTTCCTGTATTACAGCCTTCATCTCTAACAATTCTGTTTGATTCTTTTTGATTAAGTGTATCTCTTCTTTCAGATTGTGCAAGAACTTCCTAACCTCCTGGAACTTGATGTCTCTTTTCTCCTGCATCTTTTGGAATTTGTTGTCTCTATTCTCTAGCATCTCTGTTAGCTTTGTCACTATGAATATTTTAAATTCTTTATCTGACATTTCTATGAGTTCCTTTGTATTCTTTGTGGAGGTGGAGGAGTTATTCTTTTTCCATTAGAGGAGAAATATTTTCTTCATTTCTTATCTTTCTTGTGCCTCTGTGGTGGTTTCTGGTCATCTGGTGGGTTATGTTTTTTTTTTTTTTTTCCTATTTTTTTGGAGTTAAATCTGACTCCTGGCTCAACTGGGGAGCATGAGGGTGAAGTCTGGGCAGAAGATCTTCAGTGGTCAAAATCCCTGAATGGGGCCCCTCAGAACTCAAATATAGATGGCTGTTGATTGACTTATCCTGACTCTTGGCTAGACTGGGGAGCAGGAGGGTGAAGTTTGGGCAGAGGATCTTTGGTGATCAAAATCCTAATGCAGTAAAATTTTTAAGGAAGATGGAATATATCTAAAAAATTGTGACACATAAAGGGCATTTTTCTGATATAGAAAAGCATGTCAAGACTCATGTTTATTGAGGCACAAGTTACCAAGTAAATATTTCTCATTAGAAGTCTTGTCTTAAATGTTAGACTTACAGAAAAGATAGTTTCATTTTCATGGATTATTTCCTCTATGATTTTTTGTTTGTTTTCTTTTGCTTTGTTTTAAATTTTTCTCTTCCAATGTGTTCCATCTCTTTCTGTTTTTTTTTTTTTTCCTTTTTTCTTTCTTTTTCAAGGTTTTTGCCAAATGGTTT